CTACTGAGCACTACTAGTGCGCAGTAGTATTTTGAGGCACTACTACACTACTGCACTAATGCACTACTATGCACTACTATACATTACTGCGCGGTACTGCATTATTACGCACTACTGCACTACTACACTACTCCGCTGTAGTGTAGTAGTGCAAAAGTATCCAGTAATGTAACTGTAAATGAAACTCAAAACACGAGCTAAACATGTCTCCTTTATCGTAACAAACGAAATTTATAAAAATAAAAAAATATGTTTTTTCAATATACAAATACTTATCTGCACTTATTTTTTTAACTTTTAATAATTATTTGTACTGAAAAGGAAAAAAATAAATAAAGTAATTACGTCTTGTTTTATTATAATATGTTATACTAATGTTTATTTATGTGTACTATATTATATGAAAACAATTAACATTTTTTGAAAACAACATTATTTGAGAAATAATTGTTTTTCAAAGATTCTGTGTCAATGAAAAATAACAATCTTGGGTCATAATAATAGTTGTATCTGGCATTAAGATGAATAAAACAAGTTTTTATAACTTCTGAATTGGATAATTTTTGTCCTAATTAAATAAGACCTTGAAGTCATTAATACGTATATATCAGAAATACGTGTGCATTATGTGTGCATTATCTGTATTCAGAACGCGCTTATAAATAGGTTAGCGCATATTTTTGTCATTTTATCTTTTTCGTTTAATGACTGATGAAGATAGAATAAAAACACGTGCTAACATTTTTATAAACGCGTTCTGAATACGGGCTTACATGTACATAAGCATAGAGCTTTCAGTAATGATAAAAAAATAATACGACAGATACAAAATATACTGTTTTTCTTGTTTTAATATCATATATTAATTTTTATTTTTGACATTTTTTCATAATGGCTTTTATTAATTTTTTATTCCATAGCTTATTTTTATAATGTACACACACACACACACACACACACACACACACACACACATATATATTTCGTATATTACACTGCTGCAGCACTACTTATCCTAGCAGACACTATCACCGCACTAGAACTGAGTAGTGACACTACATCGCACTAGTAGTGTTTAGTAAACACTATGTGAACACTATGTGTTTAGTGAACACTATGACTACGTTTACACGTCCCCTTTAATCAAATTGAATAACATCAGTAGTTATGAAACTGGCCAATCACAGTCATTCCATTCTTCAGAGGAATAATTATGATTGGCCAGTTTTATAATTACGGATGTTATTAAATCCGATTAAAGGGGACGTGTAAATGTAGTTTATGCCGCACTAGAAGTGCTAAATAGCGACACTACGCACTAAGTAGTGACACTACTGCGTACTAGAAGTGCTAAGTAGTGACACTATTGCGCACTAGTAGTGCACAGTAATATTTTTCTACAAGGGAATAAGATACGATGTAAATATGATAATTAAATTCTAAGTTATCTTTGAAATTTCTATAAATAATGATATTAAAACGAAATGAAAATCAATAATATAAGCAAATAATACAAGCAAATAATATAAGCAGATTGAATAATATAAGAAAATATAATATAAAAAAATCAATAATATAATATAAGGTCGAATAATATAATATAAGCTAATCAAATAATATAATATAAGAAAATCAGTAGTATAATATAAGCAAACGAATAATATAATATGAGACAATCAAATAATACAATATAAGCAAATCAAATATTCCAAATAATATTAGAAGCAATGATTATCTTAAATTGTTAGAAGTAAGTTATTAAAGGAATTAGAATTCTAATAATTTCTTTTTCGTTTCCTTTTACTTTTCCTTTATAATTATAAAATTTAGATTCAGGTTTGAGACAGTGACTGCACTCTCTGATGATTTGGTAACGACTGACCTACGTCTGCATCTAAACTGTATCTCTAAGGTAGGTCCGATGTAAACGGGAAAGGCGAACAAAGCACTCCTCGACTGAGCATTTTATTTCGTGTCACAATTATTTACGCGAAAATGGAAAAAAATAAATGAAAAAGAAAGAAAGGAGAATAAAATTAGGATCTAATTTTTTCGGATCTAAGTTTTTCAGAAATATCGTTAGTGCTTTGTTATGTCCAACCCGAGGTAAATATATTTTTATATATTTTTTTTTTTAAATGGATGGAGCTTGGAAGGACGCTCCAAATATCCTCTCGCAGGTGGCCGCGCTGAGGCGTCCCTACGAGTCGGACACATTGTGCAGAGCCACGAGTGCGAGTCAACGTCTTGAAAAAGACGCTATGACTTCGACTGCGTGACGTGCGTCCATCGGTCCGTAATTTAGGCAAGAGAATTTAATCTCTTTTGCCAGGGACAGGACCATGCGCGAATCTTAGGATAACGAGAAATGAAAGAGGGAGCAAATAATTAAACGATAAATAATTTAAATTTTACAATGTAATTAATAATTTTAAAACGATTACAGGGTTAGGTAGCTACAAGATCGTATCATTATTTTTTTTACGTTGGAATATATTTACTGACGATATATTTACAAAAATATAAAATAAGAAGGGTGTTACGTACAGAAATTCGTGTGTTCTAAAAATTGACGGATGTATTGTTTGGTTTTCTGTGTATAAATTCTATTAATCTATTAGTTTAGTATTTTTAATCTGTTATTAATCTATTTTAAATTTGTATGTTGTTGTCTGTGTGTGGTTGTTTCTGAGAGGAGGTCGGGTTTTTCGCTAGTGAGGTCTAGGGGAGGAGGGGAAGGAGTCCGTAGTTCGCAGAACTCGTCTAAGGATTTCTGGGTGCGGAAATCTGGATATATCTGGAGGTCATGGCGTTCTGGGAAGAGTACACTGAAATCTGGGGGTGATCCAGGTTCAGCTGGTTTGATCGGGGAATAGGATGGAGAAGATATGTGTAAATAATGGGGTCTCCTGCTGGAACAACTCGTGGTTTCTTGATGTATCAAAACCTCGGATGTCCTAGGCGAAGGATAGTTCCCTGATTGATGCGCTCGCTTGTTCCGACGGTAACGGAGCCTCTTCAGGGCTCGCCTCCGTCTTTGAGTGTCGGAGAGAGTGGATGATGCAGCTTTCACTAAAAGAAATGGATTTAGAATATGAAGGAAATGTCATTAGTCGCGAACCTTAAGGCTATCTCTGAAATATTTCAGGAAACCGAGAGATACGACAGAGGAGAGAAATTAAAAAGGGAAAGAGAAAATTGTAAGAGAGGAGAGAAAAAAAAGGAAAAGAATAGATTTCCCGAATTACTCAGCAGCCATGAACCTGCTGAGTGCTCCGCAACGCATAGGGAGCCCGAGAGGTTCGACGGCTGAACCCAACAGAGGAGAAGCAGATTTTGCCGAATTATTCGGCAGCCATGAACCTGCTGAGTG